ATAATTTGATATGTAAAAAATTATAATAAAAAAATTGTCTGCCAAAAATTTAGTGAAAATTAAATAGAATTCCTAAATAGAATTATCAGAAATAAGAAGAAAAAAAATTGAGAAAAGATCAAAAAAATAAAAATTAAATTAAAAATAAATTAAAAAGATTAGAAATGTATGTAAAAGATGAGAAAAAATCATAAAAAGAATATTGTATATATGATGAAAAAAAATTAAAGAATTGTTAAAAAAAATGGAGGAGATGTGAAGAAAAATAACGGTAAATTTATAAATTATTTATAAAAAGACAAAAAAATTATCAAAAATGAGAAGAAAAATAAATTGCGAAAAGATTTAGTAAGAAAAATAAAGTAAAGAAATCGCAAAAAGTTAGAAATAAAATAAGAAGGAATAACAAAAAATAAATAAAAATTGACAAGAAAAATTTTTTTTAAAAATAAATTAAAAAATTACAATTTTGCATTTTTGAATGGGACCTTTTTGACTGGATTTTCCTTTATTGTTTGACACTTTTCCTTTTTTGATTGGATTTTTCCCTAAATCTTTGGGACTTTTCCTTCTTTGATTGGGCCTTTCCCTTTTTTGATTAACCTTTTCCTTTTATGATTGAAACTTTTCCTTTTTAGATTGGGACTTTTCCTTTCTTGAATGGGAAACTCTGTATTTACAACACTATATTTATAGAATGCAAAAAAGTTAAAAATAAATAATTTGTAATAAATGAGTATAATATTAATTTATAAAAAAATATATTCCAATTTTTGAATGAATAAAAAACAAAATCTGGAGGTTCAAAGCGGCTACCTCTCCACACCTCGATCTAGTGTTGTTAAACGGCTCGTTTTGAGCCGAAAAACGGCTAACTAAATATTTTAGCCAGAAAAATATTGCCTAAGCCTTGAGATCTCGCTAATAGACGTCCAAACCTTTGTTCCTTCTATAAAAAAAATCTTCAGGCTTGCGTAATACTATTCTGGATGAAATATTGAGTTAGCCGTTTTTAAAAATAGACTCAAAACGAGCCGTTTAACAACACTACCTCGATCACATGAGTCTAAATCTGATTAATCTCCCAACAAAAAAGATAAAAACAAAATAGTATTTATTATTCATAAAATAAAGTAATTATGGTAGCGAGAGATATTTTTAATACGTAAAATTAAATATGTTAAGCAGATGTGATTAAAGCAAAATCATTGTTTAAAAAAAAATAATCCAAAAAAGGTATTAATTTGTTTCATATATAATAAATATATTGCCGTTATTTTATAAGTGTAATGTGTATAGGTAGAGCCTTTGCCTGCAATATGGGGGCGGGCACAGGTTCAAATCAGCTCGATGGCAAAAGAAAATACGTTTCCGAGGTCAAATCTCAATTTAAAACCAATTTCAAACTCGAATTAGTTATTTAATAAAGGATTACAAATAAAATAGATGTAATATAATAAATAAATGTATTCATTAATAACTTTGATTCTGTTACATTTTCCCTAGGGCATTTTAAATTATTTTTATTTTATAAAATTTGATAAAAATTAAATAAATCGATTTTAAAAATTTAATAAAATAAATAAAAAATATCATAATTTTAGCCAATTCTGTGCCCGAGTATTAGGAAAGGCTTTATAATATTATTTTGAAAAACCAGTCAGGATTTGCTAAATTATTTTTTTCCCGAATAGGAATCAATTTAATAAATTTAAATTGTATAAACTAACCAATAGAAAAAATATTATCTATTCATCTAAAGACTTTTCTATGAAACTATTGTTCACATTCAATAAATTTAACAAAAATCCATAAATCTACGAAATTTTTATAACTCGTATCTAGCCGGGAAGAAGAATATTTTTTAAACTCAGGTAAGATGAGGCTGAAAAATATAAAAAAATAAAGTCGAATTGAGCTATACCAACTGCTAATGCTGATATTTATTTTCCATAAAATTAATATAAAAATACAATATGTTGAAAAGGGTATGGTTTTCCTAAATTATTATTTTAAAAACTATTATATAGGGGTGTACCGATATCACTTTTTGGAGTCCGATCCCATCCGATCCGATATTAAATTGATATCGGCCGATTACCGATACGATATCATATCTAATTTTGTATTTTGTAAAATACCAATAGTTTTAATTTGTAATATACTTTTTATTAATTTAACATCTATAATTTAATTATACCATAACTTATGTCATTTAAATATATTATAATAATCAGTTATAGTTTATATTCAATTTTATTGCAATTCTAAAAGTATATAAAAAATTTTAATGTTAAATCAAAGTAACAACATTAATCTATATACATAATAAGTAATAAACAAATATATTATGAAATTTGAATAAATATTTAAAATAATATTTAACATTAATATTTCGAAGATTTCTTTTTAGAAATACCAAAATTTCCGATTTATCAGAAATCAGCCTGCGGCGATGGTAACTGTCAATATCACCAGCTTCATTAAAAACAGATTCTGAAGAGATTATCGCACACTTTTATAAACAGAATGCGCAAAAAATAACATATGGCAGGATGTTTATTAATTAATTATTATTATTAAAAAAAATATGGATTTCGATTTTACAGTAAATATATGATTTGTTGAAACACATTTCCATAATGTGAAAAAACATTCTTATATAATTAAATAACTTTCCATAATTATTGTAAAAACTTGTTGAGATTTTTTACTTGGAAAAAAATGTTGAGAAAAAAAAATTATTATTTTTAAAAACTTCGGGTAATTTAACTTAAATTAAAACTATTGCGACAATTTTAATTTTAACTTCTAATAATTTTTCATAAATTATAATTTTTTTCAGATTAAAAACTATATTTCTATTTATTTTTAAATGTCAAATTTTACTATCGCTAGTATTTTTAATCTATCTCCAGTTTCAGGTTTGTTAATATAGTATTCGATTATTTACTAACTTTATATATATAATTTTAGATACACCTTATCTGAAATAGAGCAAGGCTAATTATTGAAAATTATCAAATATCATATTTTTACTACCCTATTCGCCAAAATTAAATTCGATCGAAAAAATTTTTCGGAATTATTAAAGATCAATACCGATCGAATTCTCCTAAACCCATTAACCGAATAGAAGTTATTGCAATTGTTAAGAGTTTTTTGATCAGTTATTTTACATACAATTTTTCAAATTTTTATTCTCACACCACAAATTTCAATGAAGATGGAATTCGATGCATTCTTTTAAATGATTGAATTTATAATTGATTTGTATTGTGTAATATTTTATTTACATAAAATAAATAAATAATAAATGTTTTTTTTTTAATTTTGGTGTCTCGAATTGATCATTAAAAAAATTATCTGAAAACTCTAAATTCCAATTTTCACTCGTGTTTATTAAGAAATTATTCAAATTTCTTATTCTGATTTCCATTCTTTAGATAACTAAAAGTAAAATTAATATATTGTATAATATTTTAAATTTAAAAAATGTTTTTTAATCTTAGAATTTTTTTTAAAATTCTCATTTACCCACTTAAACTTTGTACAAAACATAAAAAAACTATATTTGATTCATAACTTTGACGTTAGCCTTCATTAAAGTTTAAAAACTTTTATTATTAAAAAATTTATATCAAAATATTTAAAAAAAATTTTTATCAAAATGTTTTTAACAATAATTATGGAAAGTTATTTAAGTATATAAGAAAGTTTTTTCACATTATGGAAATGTGTTACAACAAATCATATTATTACGTATTTATAAAAATAAATTATTTTAGATATAACCTTTTTAAAAATTTTATAACATTTTATTTTTGTAAAGACGCCATTTTATAATATTGGCCGATAAAGGATATTTTAAAATAGGTGAAATATGGGCCCGATCCGATCCGATAAAAAATATCGGTACATCCCTACATTATATATAATATCTATAAAATTAATTTTATAAAAAACATAATTGAATTTTTAAAAGGAAGAGGAACAGTAGTTAATTTTGAGAATATTGATTTGTATTTGTCTGAGGAGTAGGAATTCCATTGGTTCAGATGCTTGCGATTTGGTTTTGCGAGCTAAATTTTTTTTAAATGCTAAAAGTTAATGAAGCGAACTGTCCGCTGGTAGTCGTAATTGGTAATAATACAAAATTACTAAGGATTTTGTATTTGTTTATTATTTTATTTTCTGCTTGAATAAGCAAGTTACTATTAATATTATTATGATGAGACACATGTATAATCCCAAATAAGGGATTTGCGCATGGCCCAGGGGATAGTGGTCAAACCGTAGGGCCTTAAGCTGCTGTTGAACTACTTAAAACAAAAGCTTAACATTAGGATATTATCTAGCATATCTATAATTTTTATATTTTATTTTAATTAAAAAACATTAAGATAACGGAAATATGCAAACACTAGTTTGAGATACAAAAAATCCCTCCAACTCTTACTTTTATTATTTGATCAAAAGAAGTTATGTGCAATTTTTATAAAAAAAAATACGCTGTATATGATTATAGACAATCATATTCTGAATCGAAATTATATAAAATTTGAAGATTAAGATTTCATAAATTATATTATAAACTTTAAACTCAATTATCTCAGTTTAAAAAATGGCGTGGAAGGTCCAAACCAAAACATTTATTTAATGTGCAGACTTAAAACAAACCAATATTACAAAAATAATTATCTTTTATAAATATATATAGTGACAAGTTTAAAAAATCGATTCCAAAAATTTTGGTCAATTTGCTTTAACCCTTGTTTATTTTTTTTACATTTTAAATATCAGTTGAAAAAAATCCCAATCGCACTAAGTTTTAATAGGGTAATAAAATAATGCACCTGTGGCGGTTGCAGTTAGAGTTTTCAATTCAATAATCTGAAAACACTTCTTATTGATGTTCCTAATGATAAAAACATCAACCCTTTAAGTAAGGCACTCTGCTATATTGGGGGGGGGGTGGATTAATATTTGGAGTGAAATACCTTTATTACCAAAGCGGGTGTCCTATTGATGTGAAAATTTTCAGGAGTTTCCCCGCTAATGACTAGCAAATCTCGACAAGTTTGATTGGAAACATTGACATTTAAAGCGTCGCGTTCACTGTTTTTGACGGAATTTTCAATTTGACCATTATTTATCAAATTCTTTTCTTTAAATTGTGTGCTGTCTGTTTTGGCATTGATACAGGACCTTGCGAATATAAACGTAGAAATATATGGTAAAAGCTATTTACAAACAATCACAAAATATTTTAGTTTCCCAAGTTGATTTTTTATATTAAAAAATATATTAATAAATAATTTGTGCAAAAAGGTACTATAACGTAGAAAAGGAACCAATGTTACTCTAAAGCTAATAGTATTTACTTAATAAAATATAAAAAACTATAAAGTACTTATAGGACCAAATTATTTCCAAATAGCCTGTACAATTTAAAGGATAAATTATCTAAGCTAAGAGAAAGATTTGACTTAATTCTAAAATAGATTACTTTCATTAAAATATTATTCACTAGAGAAGTTTATATATTTTATTATAAAATTTGCATTAATATGCAATGACATAAAAAAATGTAGGCAAAGAATTTATTAAATATATAGTACATGTTTTACAATATTGAATTAAAAGATGCATTTAAGAATAAATAAGGGAAAAAGATAGAAAATATATTGATGCTGCTAATTAAAATGATACTAAAAGATACTAAGCATAACTGTGTAATAAATAAGTTGCAAGGTTTTTATTGGTAAAAATATATTACGTATATTTCAATAATTATATGCAAATTGTATAAAATTTCTATAAAAATTTATGCTCAATAACAACATATTTGTCATATTAACTAAGGTTGGTAATTGTTCTAAGATATTCTAGGATACATGTAACATCTGATCTGCTAGTGGATAGTTATCTAATCAATCTGTTAATGTGAAAGAGGGGATATTTTTACAGATGTTGCAAACAAATAAAATGAATGATCTTATATTTTTTTCTCTCTCCCAAAATCCTACCTTCAGCCTCATCGTGGTGGGGGAGTGACAAAGTCTTTTGGGGACTAATGGAGGTCTAAATGGTTCCCTGTAGTCTGAATCTAGAATAGGATCACCGTCTTTTCGTGTAAAAAAGGGAGTTGATGTCAGGAAGGGCATCCGATTGTAAAAACCTTGCTACAAATATTCCTAATGATTACAACAAAGTATGGACGGACAGCCCAAAGTACCCCGTGGGCCTCCTCATCAGCATACGACAAAAAAAGGATGGGAAACCTGGTGGAACCACGATTCGTGAAAATGTAACTTATGACGGTCATAAACGACCTGATGTGGAGAAACCAGTTTATTGGGATAGAGTAAGGGTCGCGACATGGAATGTTGGGAGTATGACGGGTAGAGCGAGAGAAGTGGTTGATGTATTGGATAGAAGGTATATAGATGTGTGTCATACACGAGACCAGATGGAAAGATAATGGTGCAAAAACGATTGGCAAGACACGTAAAAAGTATAAATTCTTCTGACAAGGAAGTAATGATGGTAATCTGACGTTGGGGTAATGGTTGCGGAAAAATTGGTGGACAAAGTAGTCGAAGTGAGAAGGATAGATAATTAGATAATGGTTATCAAGATGATTTTTGGAAGAAAGGTATATAATATTATCTGGGCATATGTTCCTCAGGTTGAAAGAAGTGAAGAAGAGAAATATATATTTTGTGACAGTCTATTGGAGGCGACATCGAAACTGGCAAATGAAGAGGGGATTATCCTGGCTGGCGATCTGAATGGACATGTGGGAGCGAGTAGTGAGGGTTATGAAGGAGTATATGGAGGATTCAGTTACGGCATGAGAAATCTGGAAGGGGAGAGGATATTAGATTTTAGTGATTCTATGGATATGATTGTTTGTAATACAATGTTTAAGAAAGAATCAGAGAAGCTGGTGACTTATAAGTCGGGTAGTACCAAAAGTGCTGTGGATTACTTGTTATTAAGGAGATGTGATCGATGTATAGTAAAAAATGTGAAAGTGATACCGGGAGAGGAATGTATAAATCAGCATCGACTAGTTGTAGGAGATCTTACTCTTAAAGGTGCCAGGGTCACTAAAAGAAAGTTTGTCCCAAGGCTGAAGGTTTGGAAATTGAAGGAGGAAAATGCTAGACGTCAATTCAATATGATATTGGCGATAAGGGAGGAGGAGGTGGCACAAACATATTGGGGTTGACAAGTGGGAAGCCATTAAAAAAGCTTAGGTGATGACATCTGAGGAGGTATGTGGATGGATAAAAAACGCAAGGAGATATGGTGGTGAAATCCAGAGGTAGCGAAAGCTGTGGATAAGAAACGGACTTCAAAGAATGGTATAATAGTAAAGAAATAGTGATAACGATATTTACAAGATGGCGAAAAGAAATTAATAGCGAAGACGCAAGAAGAAAAAGGGCAGGAGTTTGTTAAAGAAATGGAATGCGTGGAAGGAATGGGAAATGTGGTTCGTTCGAAAAATATGGAAGGAAATATGGTTATTGATAGTAGTGGTATTAAGAACACCTGGAAGATCTACATGGAAGGACCTTTGAAGAAGAAAATGAATGGGATAATGATGTTAGTTGTGCAAAGGTAGAAGGTCCAGAGTGTAAATTTGGCAAGGACGAAATAAAGAGAGCTGTGAAAAAAATGAAAAAGGGAAGGTAGCGGGTTTAAATGGGTGGTATCAGAGATGTTTAAAGGTCCTGATGACTTAGGGGTTAAATTGTTAATGAATTTAGCCAATCAAATTGCAGAAGGAACCGTCCCGGAGGAGTGGCGAAGAAGTATAATTATCCCAATATATAAGGGGAAAGGTGATCCTTTAGATTATGGGTCTTACAGAGCTATTAAACTCTTAGAATATGCAATGAAGGTATTTGAGAGGGTGTTAGAGAAGCGGATAAGGGAACAAACTAAAATAAATGCGGTTTGGTCTTACATCGGGGAAAGGTACGACAGATGCAATTTTTGTGGTGAGACAAATACAGAAGTATCTTGCGAAGGAAAAGAAACTGTGTTATGCGTTTTTTTATTTGGAGAAAGCATTTGACAGAGTGCTGCGCGAGGTTACTAGATGCTTGAGAAAATTAAGTGTGGAAGAATGGTTGGTTATGGCAGTGATGGCAATGTATGTGGGAGCACAACTGCGGTATGGAGGGATGCTGGAGATAGTGAAAGATTTAAAGTGAAGGTAGACCTTCATCAAGAATCCGTGGTTACCATTATTATTTATCTTAGCAATGGATGTGGTGGCTAGAGAAATGCGTGAAGGACTTCCCTGGAAGCGATAATATGCAGATGACCTTGATTAATTGCAAGCAGTGAGGAGGAATTGAGAGATAAAATTAGTAGATGACAGATGGCTATGGAAGCAAAGGGCTTGAAAATGAATGCAGCAGTGATGATTGGTAGGGAAAATCTAAAGGTAGAAAAATCTAGCAAGTGGCTTTGTGGTGTAGGTGGGAAAGGAGTTGCTAGAAGTTCAATCCAATGCACCAGATGTCAGAAATGGGTAGCGGTAATAAGGGAAGTTTGATGCTAGCAAGAATGACATTTGTATAACGTGCATAAAATTGGTACATAATAATGATGTAGAAAGTAATGGTCTAGATATTGGCAATTGGTTAACAATGGTTTGGGCATGTGGAACGTATGACAAAAGATGACTGGGTAAAATGATGAACCTAGATGGAAGTAGGAGGATCAAGACCTAGAGGAAGACCCAAGATAATGTGGACAAATGTGATAGCAGCGGATATGAGAAACAAGCTTACAAATATTGATGCTCAGGACCGTCAAAAATGGAAAAGAAAAATCAGAAAGAAAACTGGCCTACCTGTGTAAACCTGGAAATCGCCATAAAATGGAGAAGTTTATATTTTTCTTTTTGCCAAAAAACATTAAATTATGTTATACAAATATTGAACAATTTTTTTCTAAATCACACTTGAAGTTTACTTTGCTTAGCTTAGAAGAAAATGAGCTTCAAAATTATTAATCATCTTCAATTATTTCAACAAATAATGTTTCTTTAGTTGGATGACAATAAGCACCTTAAATTATATATGATATTTTATATATTTTCATCATTATATATTGTAATTACTAATAGATTCCTTATATAACTTTTATGCAAAATCTAAATTGAATTAAATATTAAATTAATATAATTTTCTAAGGTTCAAATATGATAAAATAAAGAGGGAGAAATAAAAATAAATTTTTAAAAAGAAGCAATATTTCCAAAAATAAAAGATTTTGACTAAGTGAATATTTTAGGTTTAAAATCATTCTACATAAAATATCTTTAACTAAGCCAAAGAAAGAAAGAATATTATATTTTATTATGTAAAAATTATTATAATTTAATGTTTAAGTATGACAAGAAGAAAAATATAATATCTTTTTATTCGTTTTCAACATCTGCCTAAAAATATTCCCCCCTTCATTGTATCATAATTTACTTAAATTCATTGAACACCTTATTTTAATTTAATATATATACATTATTATATTTATATAATATTGATGCTTAATTAATGAAAAAATCTTTTATTAAAAATTATAGAGAAAAGGTGTTTAGTAAACTCAACAAGATAGGATGCAATATCAAACTATTTTATCTTTTAGCATAAAAAATCCACAATTCATCTAATACATTATTTGAGTAAATATGTTTCACCTGGTTTAAAACTGCATAATATAATATTTAAAAAAAAATTTATTCACTTCAATCGTAAAGAAGGCCATTTAATCGTTACAAAATATCAAACTAGTTTGATATTAAAAAACGCAAAATCGCATGCATTAAAATAACATGTTTGGAAGGATACGACTTTTAAACTGTATTAGTTTTTCTCGCTTTGAAAAAAAGTTGTGTTCAGATCAGATAAATTATTAATTAAAATATTTTTATAATAACTTTTGATCAAGAATTGATTGTTTATTTTTTGATTAAGTTTCTATTAAACATGTACTTTTTTCTGAATTTTAGGAAGGATGGAGTGGAAGCAGCCCTTTTAAAGATCACACTGACATTCTTCTTTGGTTCAGTGGTTGTTTCAGCAGAACTAAAGCAAACGGAATTGGGTTTAGACGTAATACCGGGGTTCATCGAACTCAACCAATTGTGAAAAGTGTGACCTAAGGTGAAGTGATTCAAGTTGGTATGAGGGAATCTGAGATAACGATATATTTTAAAAAAAGTTTTTTTAATAAAAAATGAAAAGCCATGTGAAATTTTAATACATTTTTTCATAAGGTAACAGTTGAAAAAGTTTAAAAAAATATAAAGGTTATATTAACAATCGATCTATTAACATAATACATAATGTTCGCAGTGGGTGGCATCAATGTAATTCAGCTAATCTTTCATCGCGAATTTAGCAAATAAATTTTATAGCAAAGCTATCATCGCGAGTGCCGCAAATAAATTTTATGTAAAATACATTTCATCGAAACATATCGCGAACCCATTATAGCGAAACTTTATCGCGACCCCCTTATAGGGAATTTTTTACCCCGCGAAAAAATATTGTGAATGCATTTAATATAAGAAAAACAACATATGTATTAATAATTCACCCACACAAGTTCTTAAATCATAAGCGTAAAATGTTTTAAGGGTATTTCGAATAAGCAAGAGTTGGGTTAAATGCAATGGCGTAGCCAGGATTGATCCATAGTGGGGAGGGGGGGGGGGTGTTAATTTTTTTTTTTAAATTTGACAATATTTTGTACTTTATTAGTGTCTAACCACTATAGTAGCCAGCATAAATGAAAAAAATATTAGTAACAAAATTTTGGCATTTATGATTAATATGCGACTGAAAGCATTATTTTGAAAATTTTATCAAAGTTTAGTCAATTGTAAATTAATTCAATCCATTCGGTGTAGAAAGAAGAAGAAAATCTCCCATTTTTTATGATCACTCAATATATCTTATTCTATGTTAAATATAATTATTTTAATTAAATTTTTGCATATAACAAAATTTTGCAGAGAATTTCATTATAGATTTTATTTATTATTAAAATACTTTAGTATAAATAAAACCCCTTTATTTAACTATGTATTTATTTTAATGATAATGTACAATAAAATAAATTTCAAAATGTAGAAATTTTATACAGATTATATTAAAAATTTATTGTAAATAACTATTTTTAAAAAAAATAAAAATACAATAAAATATGAGTAATTCTTGTACGGTATTTAAAAAAATCTAATTTTACAATTATAATTAATACAAATGAGTTATTAACAAAATGTAAATAATTCTTATTAGAGTGCAAAAGTAGGAAAATCGGGTTAGGGCCTAATATTTTTATAAAAAATTCGGTCAGGGTTGGGTCGGGCCTTGGAAATTTTTTAAAATATTTCTAAATATATCAATTTTATGTTAAATTTTTTATTATAAATAAAAATATTTGATTTTATTTATAAAAATTAGACGCCATATAACATCTATATTTTATTTTGAGTATTTTAATGAATTCGGACCGGGTCGGGCCGGTAAATTTTTTTCAAAAAAAGCTTGAAAAATTAGGATAGATGCAGATAAATAATTATTAATGCAAATGCATTTTTATTAAAAATAGTATAATATATAAATTTTATAATATATAAATTTTATAATATATAAATATTATGACTAAGAATTCATTTTTGAATATAAAAAATTATGACTAAGAACATATTATAATCATAAAAAGAGGTCTACTTTTCTCTGAGATTTGGCTAATTCATCTAGAATCGAATTTTTATCTAGAATAATCTCCTTATAAATATTTAATATTGCGAATCCATTTAAACGCACCGGTACTATTTCTTAAATAGGTTTTTAACCTTTTCAAAGTTGAAAAGACCTTTCATTAGTGCAGGTGCTAATCGGTAAGGTAGCTAAAATAAAAGGCAATGTTTTTGGGCAGGGAATCTAAAGTGCAATTACACATGGAAAGGGCCTGCAAATCATTCAAAGAGCACTCTATTCTGTCAAAAATTTTTTACCAAAATTCGACATCACAAAATAACTTATCATACGATCCTGATAATTCATCAGAATAAAACACTGAGATTTTCTTAATAACCTCTCGCGTTTCAAGTGTATTCAGAATCAACCGGCAAAAGAAAATAAAGCTGTTTAAAATAAAATTATGAATAATAAATCTTTCCTTTAATTGAAATAAAAATGCATCAATAAGAGGAATAAAAATATTTATTTTATAAAAATCCTCAATCGTAGATGCATCAATATTTACTATTGAACTATCTAGACACTACTCTAGGTTTAAAATCTCTTATCTCAAACATATTGCAGATCTTACTTTCTCGTTATATTTACCAAATTAAATGATTTTTGTTTAAAAATGATAAAAAATTAAAATTTTTAAAACTATCTAATTAGTTTATCAATATTTTATTATTAAATTTATGAATATATAATTTAACTATGCCAGAAAAAATTTACAATATATTTATATTGTTATTTAATATTTTCACATATTTTTAAATCATGTCATCATTTAAAATTAAAAATTCTTATTTGTTTTTTTAAATATATTTCATTTTGATATAGTATTTATTTTATTTATTAATTGAAAACCGTTTTTTAAATAAAATTATTAGCAATAAGAAAAAAATTAAAAAAAAAATTTATTTTTTTTTAAAATTTTAAACCTACCCATCCCCCTTGCTTGTCTACGCCACTGGTTAAATGTGATTTTTATCTGATGAGATGGAAAAATAATTCTTAACTTGAAGTATGGAGGGGGCATTCCTATCACTTTAGCCTCGGGGTTTTTTTCTTAAAAATATAGCAGCTCAAATTTGAGAGAAACTAAGTTTTTAAATTAATTTTTACCCGTAAAGTAACCTTTTATTTTGTCCATTGATTTTTTATTTCTTTTATTTTACTTTATAATATCATCTATTAAAATAATCGATTAACTTAAAATCGTTGATAAATGATTGTTTTTATTATTTTATATATAAATATCATAAATAAAGGGTTGTAAAAAGAAACAAATAATAGCAAAAATGTGACGCTCAATATTAAATATAACATTTATTATTTTCATTGTTTAGATTTATTTTAGTTGTTTGATATTATCATACTTGAATTAAATTGTCTATCAAATAAAACATTTGTATATCCCAGTTTATTATCACTTATATCATAATTAGCAATCAAAAGATATTTTTATTTTATAAGATAAATGCCAAGATAATTTATTTAAAAAAGTCTTTAAACAACTCTCATGATATTTTAAAGCAATGCGGATGATGAACAAATCAATCAAAAGAATCTTTTTATTTTGAGAATTATATCAAGATATTTAGTTAGAATGTGTATCCTCCCTTTTCCCCAGACTTACCCTGAAACATAGATGAGTAACAATGTAGAAAAATCTTTTTATATTCATTTACAATTGATGATATTATGCCAAAAATATCCCTTCCTAAATTCAAATATTTTTATTAGCATTGATTTCACGCCCTTGCGAAGATATTGTTTAGAAAAAGTTTTAATCCCACCCCACATTACTTAGACCTGAGGCCTTGAATGTTAATTTCAATATTATTCAAAAAATATTTTTATAAGCTTTCGTTTCATATCCTTATCGAAATACTTCTTTAGAAAAAGTAACCCCTCCCCCCTTCCACCTCAACCCGAGGACCTGGCGTATGGATTAGTGATCTGTATAGAACCTAATTTTCAAACCCGACCCGATTCGAAAGAAATTTTTTTATCTGTCCCGAAAAACCGGATTCGAAATAAAAATTAAATTGATCTGTCTGCCTGGCCCGAATTTAAATAAACGGGGAAATTAGTTCTTTCCAATCTCGTTTTACATTTTTATACTGAACATAGTCGAGTTTTGATCATTCTACAAAATAAAAATATTTACTCCTTGTTTCTTGCAAAAATTTTTAAATTTACTTCATAATTTAAACCCGACTTGTCCCAATTTTTTTTTAAAAAAAAGAAGAGCTTGTCCGGCTCGAAATCTACTTTTACAGATCTCTAGTGTTGAATCTTAAATAGTACTACTCAAAAAATCTTTATATCGCTTTCATTGGATACTGTTGTCGAGATATTTTTTAGAAAGAGATTTAAATCACCCCTCCTCCTCCTACTTCTCCATGACCTAGGTCCGAATATATACAGTGATTAGTACTCAAAAAATCATAAATAATTTAAGATAAATAAGATCAAGAGAAATGCAATTAAAATAGAAATATTCAATATAGGAAAAATCTTTTCAGCATTTTAGTATATCTTTTGAGAAATTCAATAAAATAAATTTTAAAAATCAAAATTTTTACTTAGTAAAATCGTTTTAGATTTTAAAGAAACATATTTGTGAAATTCAGTAAAAATTCTTTGCTTAGAGTAATAAACAATAAAAGATAAAAAATTCTAAAAGTTGCAGTTTTTATTTTGAGGGAAATAATATAAGTCAAAATATTGTTTGGCTGAAAAACTTTTTAAAATTTCTAATAGAATGTTAGGGCGCCGATCTCTAATACATTAAAAGAAAAATCCTATCCCCCATAAAAATAAATTCCAGTTATACCACTGATAGAATTAGACAATTATGAATCCTGGCGCGGCGATTGTAAGAATCGTATTTTTAAAAAATAATTTCAATTGACCTAATATTTTAAAAAAAAATTTGGGCCGTGCCGGGCCATGCTTTAATTTTTAAATGTGATATACAATTTTGTGAAATAAATTGATATATTTTACTTGCAAGAAGTAAGACGCTAATATTTTATATTTGTAGAATATTTTTTATACAATGCAAAAAAATATAAAATTTATATGGAATCGTAATGATTTGAATCTCTTGATTTCTAATCCTTTACCGAGGGCAATTTTTGAATTTTAAAATTCATTTAACCGGAAATGTATTCTAACATGTGTAGAGTATTTACCCTATTAGTCAATTTCCGCGATAGACATTTTCGTATTTTTTAATTTATATGAAAATCCATATAAATTAGGAGTAGTTCTAAAGTTCATGACAAAATTGTTTGAAATTTATAGTTTGGGTACTCAATACCAGGGATGTGAACCCTTCGACAAAAAAAAGTGTCCAGGTCCGGGTACAGGAATAAAATTTGAAAGGACCCGGGTCCAGGGTTCGGGTTCAGGGAACATAAAAATAATGACTCAAAATAATATTTTTTTCATATTCATAATTTACAAATGAAAAATTTTAAAATGAAATAATTTATATTTTAAATGATTTATTCTCGCACAATCATAATATCTTCTAAAATATCATCCTTGATCCAAATAAAGTAGACAATATATATTTCAAAGATGAAAATTTCTACCCTTACATAAAATAGATATTTATCTTTATAAAATTATTGTACTTGTGTCACCGGTACAGCCATGAAGATTCTAGATAAAGTATATAATGAATATATTGAAGAATTTTCTTCCCAGAATTTTAAAATATTTATATCCTTATTCATTCTCTTAACTTCTGAGAACTTTACTATTAAAGATGCAATAGGCATTTCTCGATCTTCCTTACTATCTGATGATAATTTTTTTTTTATCTAAAAGTAAAATATGAAGATCATCAATGTTGCTATCATTATTATTATTATCACTACAATCAATATGTATTGTCGTAGCCTCCAGTATATTGTAAATAATAAAGTTTTGCTTTTGCAATAAATTCTTAAGATGGTCATTAGCCATTTGTTTTTGCTCAATACTCAATAAAACTTGATATAGAGTGTCTAAATATATAGAAGCGTATACAACACTATTTTGCAAATATTGTTGCTCTCGAATTTTCATGTTTTCTAACTGTAAATTTTTCTAAATCTAATCGGCATCTAATCCATATGCCTTAAAATCAAATAAACATAATTGTTCTGATTGTAATCTTAATATTGTTATTTTTAAAGGAACTAATACACTAGTAAGGTCCTTTATTTGGCCCCAATCATCTTCCGACAAAATGAATTCACATGCTCCTATAATAAAATCATTACAGAAATCTTTCAAACTTAATAATCGTTTTAGCTTCATACAAATTGAGGACCAACGTGTTGTGCATTATCATTTAAATTAATATATTAATACTTGTACTACAAAATAATTCACTTTCGTATTTCTATAACATAGCATATTAATAAATTATAATAAAATATTATTACACTAGAAAATAATTTATGATATCAATCTCTAAATAAAATGTAAGTCCAGGAAGAAAATTCGAATAAAAACGCGAAGATAAAATAAATGATTCCACAAAAAAAGTTAATAAAATTTAAATTAATTTTTAAAATTTTTTATGACACCTAGAACCCTTGGACCCTTCACTTTTAAAAAGGGTCCGGGTCCGGGTACGGCCAAAATACGAGGGTTTAGGGTTCGGGTTCACATCCCTGCTCAATACATGCTGAAATACAATTCCTGTCATATCATAAAATATGATAATTAATTTGTAAAAACTTTTGAATTATTAAATTTATCAGGAAAAAATAAAATTAACTGATGAGGGCTGAATAAGACACGCTTCAATTGAGCTACTTCCCTCTCCTTGACCATATCCTTGTATAGGAGAGTTCTGATTAGGTAAGATACTAGGGACTCGTAATCGTCACAATTGGCGTCAAAAATGACTAGGCCTAAATAATGATAAATAATAAATTATGTTACGCACAATATAAAGTAACGCGTAAATATTAAATATAATTCAGAAACAAAGATAAAAAAATGTAAGAAATAGCAATGTGTAAAATTATAACGTATATATGATGGGTTTCGTAACATTTCGTAATTCAACACTTTAATACTGTGACATTTTATCATTCTGCAGGCTATTTGAAAATAATTTGATCCTGCAAGTAATTTATATGTTTTTATTTTTAATAAGTAAATTAAAGTACTTAATATGTTTTTTATTTTTTATTAAGTAAATTATTAGCTCTAAAATAACTGGCCCCTTTTTGTGGATATAGAGTTGCGCGTTATTTATTAAAATATTTTATAATATAAAAAGCTGTATAATAAACTTTTTGCTTGGAAATGACCTATAGAACAGTAGGAATATTAATAAATCGAAATGAATATCATAATTAAGTAATCATTCATTTAAAATAGATTAATAAATCAAAAATTTGTTTAAATATACTATAATTAGAATTAAACTCTTTACATCCAAAATATCGTAGGCCTAGAATTAATGCTCCCCTTGCGCAAAGTTTAAAATGAGAAAATCAACATTAAAGTTTAAAATCAAATATAGGAAAAGCTTATTGTTAATTTTGACAGAGCTATAACTTTAGCAAAAATTAATATTTTTCGATCTAGTTTTTATTTTTATATATATTGTGAATAAATAAGTTATTATCCACAAAAATTTTGAAAATTTCGAGTGGAGCACTCCAATTCTAGACCGACGATATGATAAAATAAGAATAACATAATATATGAATGTTTTATTAAGTGGTAATATTTGTTACATTACCTTCAAGTTAAGTGAGAAACAGGCAATTTTATTTATATTTTTAGATAGGATCTGCAGACTGACTTGGCATGGGGGCATGAGTAGTTAACTTCTTCCTGGCAGTGGTCAGGTAGGTAGGCATTATTTTATGTTATATAGCAGGATATTATATAATTTTTTAAAAGTTTATAATTAATTAAGTTTTTTACATCCTTTTTTATTTCAATTTGAGTTCATCACCATAAAAATTATATAAAAAAGACTTCTTTTAAGCCCACGTTTATTTAAACAAATTATTTATATTTTCATAGCATAATTAGTTTTAATAATTTGTAGTAAAACATCATGTTTGAAAAAATGATAACGATCATAAATAATAAAGTCGTATTATATAATATAATTTTTATATCATTAATTTGAATATGTAAATTAAAATAAAATGTTAAATTCATAATTATAAAAAAAATTAATTGAAAATTGTTTATTATAATTCGTTTTGTAGACAGTATTATAACGTAATAAATGATAGCAAAATAAGAGAAAATTGCCAAAAGAGGCATCATGTAAGAATGGAAAATATACAAGTACTAAATATCTGGTTGGTGCTATGTCTCTATCGCTTAGGAATTCCTCAATCAATTTTTAGAATCACAAATAAGAAATCGAGTCATAAACTAAAGGAAAACTAACCTATTACCAAGACCGTGAAATAAGTTTTGGAAACACCAATTCAGAAACTTATACTAAACCATTAAATAGTGATTTATTAGTATATTTATATGCTTTATTCTGTGGTAGATGGGTTAAAGGGGAAATAAATTATTGGTAAATTAAGAAAATAAATATTAAAATTATCATCATGCTATAACGGTGAATATAGAAGTTTTAAATACCTGGTTTGCGTTCATATTTAGTGCCTTATTTATTCATCCTTCAATCAACACCAGTCACAAAAAAGAGTACGAATTACGAACCAAATATAGAGTATGATATCAGGCCTTAAGCATGAAGTCATTCAAACTTCTGGAAGTATTAACTCTGAAATTTATATAAAAAATAGGTGCGCATTTAATGCATTTTAATGCTACAACCAGTTTGGTAGAGAGTTTAAAGTGGCAAGAAAAAAAAAATTGACAAGATTGGTAAAGCTAGAAGGAAAATTATAGAAGAACTTAATATCTGGGTTATCCAATATGTAATGCCTGATTAGTACTCACTTATTCATCAATCAGTTCTTCCAGAGAATAAACAAAAACCAGTTATAAGTGAAATAAAAATACTGACAGGCATGAGACTGAGTGGGATATTAAATTGCAATTCAAAAATTAATTAAGTCTAAATAAATATTTCTCTTTCGCCGATTCAAAATAGATCTTTATAGATATTATTGGTTTTTTCGTTTATTTAATAGATATAGAAGTAATAAATCTCTTTATATTATGAATCGAATTGTATGTTCAAGAATTTGTTATGAATCTGACCAGTGGCGTAGCCAGGATTGATCCATGGGAGGGGGGAGTGTTTAAAATTTGTTTGGAGGGCTTCGCCCCAAAACCATATTTTAAAAATTTGCCAATATTTTGTGCTTTATTAGTGTCTAACACTATAGTAGCCAGCATAAATGGAAAAAATATTAGTAACAAAATTTTGACCAAATTTATGATTATTACGCGACTGAAAGCATCTGAAAATTTTATCAATTGTAAATTAATTCAATCCATTCGGTGTAAAGAAGAATAAAATCGCCCCCCCCCAAACCTCCCATTTTTTATTACACTCAATATATCTTATTCTATGTTAAAACAAATTATTTTAATTAAATTTTTGCATATAACAAAATTTTGTAGAGAATTTGATTATAGATTTTATTTATTATTAAAATACTTTAGTATAAATAACACCCCTTTATATAACTATATATTATTTTAATGATAACAAATGAGTATATTAATAAAACATCAATAATAGAGATCTGCAAAAGTAGGAAAATCGGGTTCGGGCCTAATATTTTTAAAAAAAAATTCGGGTCGGGTTGGATCGGGCCTTGGAATTTTTTTTAAAATATCAATTTTATGTTAAATTTTTTATGTAAAATACTAGACGCCATGTAACATATATCTTTTATTTTGAGTAATTATAAAAATGAATTTCTATATTTAAATAAATTCAGGCCAGGCCGACAAAACTTTTTAAAAAAAATTTCTGGTTCAGGCCGGCAAAACATTTTTAAAATAATTTCGGGCCGGGCTTGAAAAATTAGGCCCGATACAGATCACTAATTCTTATTGCAAATACAATATTTTTATTAAAAATAGCATAATATATAAATATTATGACTAAGAATTCATTATAATTACTTATTGAATATAAAAATTTTATGTTATAATAATATAGCAATTTTATGATTTGAATTTATAAAAGAGAGGTGTATTTTTCTCTAAGATTTAACTAATTTATCTAGAACCAAATTTTTATCTAGAATAATCTCCTTATAAATATTTAATAATACGAATCATTTAAAAGGCTTTCACCGGTGCTATTTCTAAAATAGGGTTTCAACCATTTCAAAATTGAAGAAGACCTTTTATTAGTGCAGGTGCTAATCGGTAAGGTAGCTAAAATAAAAAGCAATTTTTTTATATTAGGCAGGGAATCTAAAGTGCTATTACACATGGAAAGGGCCTGCAAAGCATTTTTTGGTCTCAAAGAGTACTCTATTCTGTCAAAATTTTTATACCAAAATTCGACATCACAAAGTAACTTATTATACGATCCTAATAATTCATCAGAATAAAACTCTGAGACTTAATATCCTCTCGCGTTTCAAGTGTATTCAGACTCAACCGGCAAAATAAAGTGAAAGCTGTTTAGAATAAAATTGTATATTTATTTTATAAAAATCCTCAATCGTATATGCATCAATATTTAAGAGATTGGACTATCTAGAAACTACTCTAAGTTTAAAATTTTTAATCCCAAACATATTAGTTATAACCTTTACTTTCTCATTATATTTACCAAATTAAATGATTTTTCTTTTATTTAAAAATATAAAAAATTAATTAAAATTTTTAAAATCTAATTAGTTTAACAATATAAATTTTATTATTAAATTTATAAATATCTAATTTAACTATGCTAGAAAAAATTTACAATATATTTTTATTGTTATTTAATATTTTACAATATATTTTTATTGTTATTTAATATTTTACATATAATTTTTAATATATATTTTTCAACCATGTTATCATTTAAAATTGAAAATTCTTATTTGTTTTTTTAAATATATTTCATTTTCATATCTTATATAATTTTATTTATAAATTTTAAATAAAATTATTCGCAATAAGAAAAAAATTAAAAAAAAAATTTTCTATCTAAAAAATATTTGTTAAATTAAAAAAATTTTTTATTCGGAGGTTATGGGGGGGGTTTCAACCCCAAACCCCCCCTTGTCTACGCCACTGAATCTGACTCATGAAAACGCAGTCCTAAGGACGAAGTTTACCAAACTTTTGTAAGCACTAATTCTAAATCTTAGTCCAATATAGAATGCTTAAATAGTATACTTTTTAGTTTAATCTTCAATCCGATTGTTAAACAGTATAAATATAACATTTAAAAGTTAAATAAGAAAATTTACTAAAATTTATAACAAGATTCAAGATAGAAGGTAGATCTAGAATATTAAAGCAATTATAATAATAAAAATTAAATAATCAAAATATCAAAAGAATTACTATTTATAAAAAAAATCAACTTTTTATCATATTTCAAAATATCTGTCTCGATGTCACTTGTTGTTATGTTGTAATGGTAGATAAAAAAATTAAAATAGACTTGTGACATCTTTGGAAATGTGATACCGAAATAAGATGAATTGGTTATGGTAAAATTGAAAACGATTATAATAGTTATTTTTTACCCACAAACTCTAAGTTAAGCGATTTTTTAGTAAAGTAATACTAAGTGCACTTTTGCAATCGAAGTCAAAAGCCAATCCAATACGAATTATAGCGCCTCTCGAAGCATCCATTTTTTAAATTTTATTTTATTTATAAAAAATTATTTGTTTATTTTTCACCCATGTTTTTAAATAGAAATTAAATTTCTGAGATTGCTTTATAGAATTAGAAAATGAAGGAGGGGGTTTAATCAATTTTAAATAAATGAAAACATATTATCTTTTAAAACCATATAAACATGTCCATTTTTTTTACCTAACAATATTTTATAAGTTTTTTGGGGTGGGGGGGGGGGGGGGTATAACCAAACAACCCTTACCCAAGCAATTGTCTAGAGTTTATATTAAATAAGAAAAGTAATGCAATAGTCATTTTCCTATGATTAAACTGTAAACTTTTATCACCCAGTTTTGTTAAACTTCTTTTTTTTGAATTACTTTTAGATAGATGTTGATTGAAATCTTGATATCTCAAAAAACAAATTGCACCAAAATTTCTTTTATTTAAGGAAACAACATATTTAGATTTGGATAAAATTATTTTTTAAAAAAATAGATAAATATCTAACTTAAAATTTTTTGAGTTACAAAGTGACGAGTTATCAAATGACACTATAAAATGTCGGAGTGTTATTTCCCAGTGATAATGTCTTATTACATAATGATGCAAAGCGATCAAAAGATTTGTCCAATAATATATATTTTTTTTAAATAATTTTAAGTTCAAATTAAATTAGTCTAAATTTTAAACCGACAAAATAGAATAGAAATAGATGGATTTAATTATAAAAGCAATAATAGAGGGTATACCAGACATGAGCTGTTTCCTAAGTTCCAGTAGGCTATAGAAGGAAAGGAACGGCACGTGTGCCTTCGACCATCCCAGGGGTCGTCCTAAATCCCAGGCAATATTTTCCTCATACTTGATCCAACGACCACGTTCTAACCATACCCCTGACACCTCTCGAAGTTCTGCACGGGATAGCGAGGGAAAGGGTTCGAATTGATTCAATTGAACGAATATCTTTAATGATAATTTTTATCAGATAATATAAAAAAGATTTACATCAAAGATACATCGATACCAACTTTTTAGCCGATATCGATATGAAAATTATAAAATTAAATTTAAAAAAAATAAAGAAAACAGTACTTTTTTTCTTACTTTATCGGTTTAGAAATTTTTATATAAATTTTTTGTATAAATTCATAGCATAATTCATTTGTTCATCGGTTAGTTTTTGTTCTTTTTGTATCCTATTTCATGTTAAAGTTTTAAAATTTGTATTAATTTTGTTTAATGATTTAACGTGATTTTTTATTATATCAAAATTAACTTTTACTTTAAATTAACTTTAATTATGATTTTTTATTATTTCCTTTTTTAAATTTTTGTTTTTACAAAATAACTCATTAACTTAAAAATATAACTTTCAGATAAATGATTTTTTTTATTTAGATTAATCTATTTTAATGATATATAAAGATTGGATAGTCACAATAATAAAATATATTTTGACTTTATATTATTTGAATAAATGATATCCAACCTATTCTCATCTTTTTCTTTATGATGGAAAATTTCGAACTCCTTATGCATTTTTTCTTAGAGCAGAAATAACATATATTCAAACGTTATTTTTTAACAATTGAAATGTACCAACAAACATGGGCGCAACGAACAATTCCACTTTTATTACTGAGTTTGCCAAGCTCGTTCCCAAAATTTCTCAGCGACGACAGCGCTTATATCGGGAAATTACATAGCTTCTTCGACACCAGGAATATTTCCAGCGGGGAAAAGGCTGCTCTACTTTAGAGAAGCTTATTTGACAATGAATTCAGCAATATTGGAAAGATCTGCACTCGCGCTTCTTAGTTAATTCAAATTACAACATCCATCTAACGAGAATGCCAACTCACAGTTACATGCCGCCGTGCAAAGCAAGGTGAGGTATACATCATAATTCACAGGCATCGCCAGACTAAACAAAGAATGCCAATTCAGTGGTATTAAACGCATTATTAAAAAGTCAGAGTGACTACAATTTCCAAGGAGATTAGGAGAATAGTTAAGAACACCATGACCATAGAAGATATCTACAATCTAGGTCTAGAAGAAGAGATTATGGAGTCAAGTGATATCAAGCTCACGGTGAAGGTCGAAGCTATACATTTAGGACGATCATCTTGAATGCAAGAGGAGATAAAATATAGGCATATAAGAATAGCTATGATGCCGAGAAACCTTAACAGGACACAAATGCATATGATAAATCTCTAGTATACGACATCGAACCATAGGTCCCGTAAGACAATCGTTACAACCGTTACGACAATCATCAGGGTAATCGTTACAACAATCGCTATAGCAATCGTTACGATAACCACTACGACGACCGTTATGACAAACGTTGTTACAACCAAACAACAACCGCCTACGAATGTAGTTGTGACCATATTTAAAACTATTATCTTCGTGAGAGGTTTCAATCAATACAACTATCGGCCTCATAACTTTGCCCAGGTGTTTTATTTTCTCTGCATTCAAGATGATCCACATAATGTATAGTGACCTTCTCCATGAGCTTGATATTACTTGACTCCATGATCACTTTCTCACCTAGGTTGTAGATATCTTCTATGGTCGTGGTGTTCTTAACTATTCTCCTAATCTCTTTGGAAATTGTGGCCACCCTAACCTTTTCAATAATGCGTTTAATACCACTGAATTTGCATTCTTTGTTTAGTCTGGCGATGGGCTTGACCCATACCGTATACTCCTCCTTGCTTTGCACGGCAACATAGAACTCAGAGAGCTTGACATTCTCGGTCTTGAATGGATGTTGTAATTTAAATTTACTATGAAGAGCGATGGGGTCCAAGAGGTCTGCTTCTGCGCAGATCGCTCCAATATTGTTGAATACATTGTCAAGTAAGCTTAGTAAAAATAGAGCTGATTTTTCCGGGCTGTAAATCTAGCTGGTGTCGAAGAAGCTTTGTAATTTCCCATAATTACTTTGGATTTGGTGTTTTTAGAAATTCGGTTCACATCAACAACTTTGATATAAGAATACTTTTTTTACACTTTGATATTTTTTATTTTAGTAATTAATATAGAGTAAAATTACATCTTTAGGAATATGCTTCTTGGAAGTTTTCTTCTTCGTCTTCTTAAGTACTGTAAGTTGGGAAAGCAATGTACCGGACCGAGCCCGCATAGTGTGAGCGTTTTCCCTCAAGAAATCGGCAAAATGACCTTCGAATTTGGTGTCCTGGATGCCCCCAATGCCTTCCTTCATGAGATTTTTTGCCAATTTTTTAGTGCGAATTAATCTTCGACTCATGGCAGGTAACATTTCGTGTCTCAAGCCTAATTCATTTTTTGAGTGATGTACCAGGGTAAAATTAGGGAAAACATTTATTATTTAAAAAAGGGGCATTGATATTAATAATTAAAAATTAATTAGCTTATTAATGAGATACATAGTTCCATCCAATATTTTCAATAACTGAAATATATAGTTCCGTTAAAAATTTTTTTAGCTTTTAATATGTACATTTAAAATGTAAGGTAATAACTGATTAATCTGAAATATTTTTATTTTCTAAGTGATTTTTAAAGGGCAAAGTAATGTGTATATCATAATTAATATGACATCTTATAACTCTGAGGAAAGAGTTATTAAAAAAAGTTCTTATTTTAACATGTTCTTACTCTTTAATATTATTATTTCAGCCTCCTACAACTCACTTTTATTATTAAAACAAAAAAATCATATATAAATATAACTCAATTTTAATTTATCTTCAAATATTTTTATTGGTAAACTGGATAGGAATAAGAATTTATTGACATCAAAAACAAAGAATACAAGAAAGAATTTTTTGTTGTGCTGTAAACATTTCAAAAAAATCGAACGCGTTCACGTTCGTTCAAAATTTTATTATAAATTTTTTTTTAATTTTAATTTGATATAAATATATGTTTTATATATCTATTAACACAATAGATTAGATATGTTAAGAAATAATATAGTTAAATGTTGATAATATAATTATAAATACAATATAATATAGCGAATAAAAATATATTTATATTTATAAAAAAATTTTCTTATTAATTTTTATTAACATTTGTTTTAAAAATTTTCATCTGATAAAGAGGAACGCCTGGCAGTTAAAATGGCATTAACAATACTAAAAACGCGCTCTACAGGAGCAAATGAGGGGAGCGGTATTATAGTTAATAAACAACTCTTTTAACGTGGGGAATTTATAGAAAACATTTATTGTTTTGTCCTTTGCTTAAAATTGAGATAAGTTATCCTCCTCCAATCCATCCTCCACATCCTCATCAAAAAAAAGGTAGAAATTAACAGTTCTTGCATTATTATTTCTAGGGTTTTCAATGCATTTTTTCAATAACGCTATAAATTAATTTTTTATAGGTTCGTTCTGCGGAAGTTTTATCCATGCCATTGAAGCTTGACTGGATGTATAATTGAGAAAGAACTTATTGATCTTCATATATATGTTCAAATCTTTGAAAAAAATAAAATATATGTATAATTAATTTGATAGCGATAGGTTTAATACCTTTTATTAATCCCATTTAATATTTCGTCTATCAATGGTTGACTAGAGGGGTTCGAACCGAACCCGTAGAGGAAAACCCGGGTTTTTAACCCGAACCAAACCTGAACCACGTATAAAAAAAATTAAAAACACTGAACCGAACCCAGGAATTTTATTTGAACCCGGTTTCAACCGGGTTCAGTTTATTGTTTAAAATCATATATTAAGGTATTTGTATAATTGTAAATATAAATATTAATAATTTAATTGAGATTTTATAATATTTTCAAATTTCCAATTAAGGGAAGTTTTGATGGTAGGCTTAATTCTAGATCCTAATTTCAAAAGCCTTAAGTTTTAAATAGACGAAGAAAAAGAAGATATTTACAAAACAATCTTAAAATGTGAAATGATATAAAATTAGATGATATGCATAAGTCAATGCCAACTGTTATTTGCTTTCCTAATTCATTCTACATTCATAAAAAACCATATATTCTAAATGAAACATATTTATAGATGATTCTGATGAAGTATCAACATTTACCGATGAAAGCTGTGTGAATTTAAAGATTCATCCCATAAAACAAATAACAATGGCAATATTTTAAAGCATTGGAAGCAGAAAAATTTATTACCTTTTTTGAGAAAATTAGATTTGTCAGCCCTGGCAAATTCGGCTTCTAGTGAAATGTTATTTTTTGTAGCCAATCGCCTATTAGAGGAAAGGCGTACACAATTGAAATAAAAAAATTAGACATTCTTCTTTTTCTAAGTAAAAATTTGGATTTATAATATGTATTTATTTTTTGTTATTATGGACTATGGAATTAAAGAAATAAATAGAATAAATTCAAAAAAGTTTAAAAAATTATAGCATTAAAGTTTTGAAAAATTTAAAAACGCCGTGAATTTTCGGGCGTAAATCAAAATATTGCCTTTCGTGAGCGGGCGGGTCGGGTCGAAAATTTTTAGTGGTAAGCGTGAAAGGGCGTGAATATTTTTTATTGCCACCGTGAGCGGGCGGGCCGTGAATAAAAAATTAGGCCCGCGCCCACCTCTAATCCGCATTTCGACGATAAAAAAAATATTTATAATAAAAAACTTATGCTTGACATTTGTTTTAATAAAAATGTTTTCTTTTTTTTACCAATCAAAACATATTAAACTATTGATTGGCATTTTATATATAATGTATATAATTATTTATAAAATAAGCCAAGCAAAGACATGCCACCCCTTTAGGGGCCAGCGGTATTCATCCAAAAAAAAATATGTATAATAATGTGTCTATTTTAATATAAGCTGTTATCTAATAACAAAAAAATATATATACTGACGATTTATTTTCAGAATTACGGATTAAAATTTTTGGAATTAAAATTGATCAAAGGTGATTAGGAGGGTATGGCAATATTATATCAGAACGACTTTTATTTCAATTTTATACAAAAAATAAATTTATTTTATGGATTTTTAATGCTGCTAACAATTATTATATTACATAAGTCTGAGGCATCAAAAATTTTGCTGTTGGGGAAAATAAAACAAACACAACTTAAGCAAAGAAAAAGAAAAAAAATTTTTATCCACCAAAAACAAATAACCCGGTCATGTGGAACACCAGGTTCAATTATTATTCCTCCTTAAAATTAATTACATAAATAAACTTCCGTTTCTCCCTTTCCCTCTTGCGGTTGTCTTACAATGAATAAAAAACAACTGTGGATAAAAATATAAACTAAAAGAGAGGAGAGAAGATAAAATAAACTTACCGACACTGCCAATAAGAGATTCACAGAAATATAAACAAAAGAGAAGAAAAAGAAAATCTTACCGACATTGCCAATAAATGATTCTTTTTATTAATACAGAATCCTTTCTTTTAGTCCAATGTTAATAACCCGGTCAAAGAATATTTTCTTTTTAATGCATAATGTTATGTAGGACCGTAATACAAAAAGGTTATTTATAAATCAATGAACTAGTCTATACTGAACCAGAAAATGGGGGAAACAAACAAATCACTTTACTTTTAAAGTCAATGTAATTACAGCCGTATTACACAAAGGATCATTTATCAGCCACTAAACTTATCAGCACCCCAAACCTTCTAATAATTTCTCTATTCCTCTTTTTTATATCCTAGTCTTGAGGTGATTGTTATGCCTCACCACAAGAACTCCATTGTCCAAGCTGATATAACTCAATTTCGCCCCCATATTCTGTACTAGGGCTTCCCTTTCCCATTTTTTATTCTTATTATAGAATAAACGTACCCAGACCTTTTGTCCCAAAGAAAACTTTGCCCCTGTTTTTCTCTTAATGAGGCAGTAACATTGCCCTTTGGTTTCAAGAAATCTAAGGGCCCCCGTGTTCTACCTAAAAATAACTTCATAGGCGTAACCCCATCTTTAATATAATTGAGACATGTACGCCTCTTCTTTATGATCCCCACCAAACACTATTATGTCAGGTAAACCAAATCGGGCATATAATTCCCTAATAAAAATTTTAGCGGTATAACCGTGAACCTGCATATTCTATCCACTTTGAATATAAATCCACCACTAAAAAGTATGACTTTTTATTTAGATCGAATTAATCGACGTGGAGACGTTCCCACGGTTTCTTTGATTAGGGCCACAGCCTAGGTGCACAGGTATTACATGGAACACATTTCCTGGTAATCTTTTCAGTGTCATTACCCATACCAGGCCACCATGCATATTCACGAGTCCAAGATTTCATCTTATCCCACCCTGATGTCCAGCATGTAATAAATAAACAATTTTACCACGTAATTTAAAAGGAATTATGCCTTCCCTCATTAAACACTCATCAACCACGGATAATTCATTTTCAATTTTTGTAAAACTTTTACGATTATTTCTCAGCAGTTTTTTCCTCACTAAAAATAATTTTATCTGACTCAATTCTTAATCTTTCAAAGAACTGAATTTAAAGTCTTTCCAATTGGTAGGTCCCCCTTTCAGCATATGCCAACAACCCAATGCTTTCTCATTAGCGATTACTTTATTTTTATTAAATTCGAGATCTTCCTCACCCGATCTCAACCTGGATAAAATATCAGGCAAACAATTTTCTTTGCCTCGACGATATCTAATTTCCACATTGAAGCTTCCCACCAATGACAACCAACGTTGTAATCTGGGAAACAACATTAATTCCCTAATCTATTTAAATAAATGAATCAAAGGTTTATGATCGGTATAAATTACAAATTTCTTCCCGATTAAATATTCCCTACATTTGGTTAAACCAAAAATAATGGCTAACCCTTCCTATTCAATAACAGAATATGTTTCAACTTCCCTGAAAACTCTTGAAAAAAATAAAATCGGTCTTTCCAAACCATCAACTAAATGATGCCTATCCAACCCCTTTGTTAGATGCATCTACAACTAATATTATTTCCAAATCATTGTTATAACACACCAAAATAGATTCTTTCCCAATTTCCCGTTTCAATGTTTCAAACGCAATCTGTTGTTCCCCTGCCACTCAAAAGGAACTCCCTTTTGCAATAATTTATATAAGGGTACGGCAATCCTTACAAAATCATCCAAAAATCTATGATAATAATTAACCATACCCAAATACGATTGAACCTCTGCTTTATTTATTCGATATATTTCTCAAATTTTTGTCCAGAGGTTTCACCTCCATTCCATTAATTAGATGTTCTAAATAGATAACCTCGGTTACCCCAAGAACACTTTTTTCTCTGCTGGCCCTCAGACCGTTGTCATGAATCCTCTTGTATTTATTACG